GCGGAACTAGTTCTTCTGTTGGCTGGCCGATCCACGCATACCTCGACTCCTCGATCATCCTTTTTCGGCGGGTTGCGTCGATGATCACGCTGGGGTTGAAACGGTGTTAACTCCGCCACAGCCAGCAAGATAAATCCTCTTGTCGGGAGGAACCCCTCCCGACGAGAGGATTTATCCTAGTTCGTCAGGAGGAATCCCTCCCGGCGGTGTGGCCTCTCTTGGCACCGGGTATCCCTTGGGATACCCGGATATCCGCCAGGATTTCAGGGGGAATGGGACATCCGCACCCGAATCCGCACCCGCTGGCGGGTATCCGCTGGCGCTGGCGGATATCCGCAACGGATTATCCCGGACCATCTCTAAACATGGTCAAGTGCATACAAACAATGTCACACACAAACAGGGGTTTCCAGCCCAAATTCAAAATCTTTCCACACAAGGATTCCAGCTGAAGGCAGGGGACCACTGGTGTGAACAGCTCTGCTGCGTGTTACCACTCCCAACAGTGGGCTGCTGCCCTAACTGTAGTGGTTAGTGCAGTGTAACATAGTGGAATTCTGCCACAACTGTGCTAAAGCTACGCATGTGGCTGGCAAAAAAGGCCCCCCCTATGCAGCACTACAGCGTATTTTAGAAGTTTTTGGGCCTTTTTTGCTGCTAAAAGCACTATAGTGCAGTGTAGCATAGCGGCACTAACACTACAGGTTTGGTGTGCTGTTTTGAGGGCCACTATGCTAAAATTAGTGGGCTTTTTAGCATAGTGTAGCATAGCATACACCATGGGTGCACCCAATCAGCAGTTGGAGGTTTGCAGACCCGTTTTTCTGATGGTTTCACCACCTGCAGTGAAAACTGTTGGGATCTGGTAATCATGTGTATTTGGAAAACTGTTGGCTCAGTGTTTTGACCTTGGTCTACTCAAAAGACCCAAGGAGGTCTCTCCCAGGGTACCAGCTGTGAGAACTCCTTTGGGAATGGCGGCAGTCCTGTGAGGGGGAAATAGCAGATGATATATATCATGTATGTAATAATCTACTAAAAACTGTTACGGCTGGTTTGAAAGACCTGCCCCTCTAAACAATTTATTTATTGTTATGGCAAAACCAATGATAGAGAACACTATGTGTCGCAGTCTCTTATCAAACCTAGATCAACGTGAATTCAGACTTCAGTGGACTATTGGTGTGGAATTGTTGAGTAAGATGCTTTTTTTTCTGTTTATATGTTTTATGTATTTTGAAAAATGATTGATGTATGTACTGATAATGAATGAGAATTTATGAGACACTACTGAGAAAAAAATGTGCTTATTCAGGTGTCTTTTCCTTCTTCCTTAACCTTGGTTGGGAGCACAATGGTTTAAGATCACTGTCTCTTGTTTAAGATCACAAGTTTTACTGGTTGTTACTTTCCTTTTCCTATTCTTCTCAACATCTGAATGATCTCAATGGGGCACTTGATTAAGATCACACTGGTTAATGTATGGATTGATTGCTCTGTTCTGTCTGGTTGCTGATCAGATGAGATGATGAGATCATGTGATGAGATGAAATGAGATGATGAAAAGTTGGAATGAGGGGGGAAAGCCCCTCCTTAAATAGGTTTTTTTACAACCTGGCTGACTTGTGGTTCTGGCCCTAACCAATAATCTATAAATGGCCAACTTGTGGTTCTATCCCTAACCTATAATCTATAAATGGCCAACTTGTGGTTCTAGCCCTAACCAATGATGAATATGTATCTAAAAAATATGGCCAAATTGTGGTTTCATTATGCAACAAGCATTTTGTATGCAAGTAAAATTTAAATCCCAACTAAGTTAATAACTTTTGGCTGAGTGGAGCTAGCCTAGTGGTTTCAGTGAGTGACTATGGGTTAAATGACCCTTAGAATGTGATTATGCCATAATATGCCTAAGAATATATGCACTTCTCAATATTGAACTGT